TTAAACACCAATGCTTCTATTTGGTATTTAAAACCCAGGTGGATCCAGGCTGGGTTGACACCACTGGTCCCACACTCCTCACCTATTTGCTTTTCCCTGTCTTGCCTCCAGGCAAAGAAAGATGGAATCACAGGGAGCTGAGAACAGGTTTAGCATTTGACAGAGCCTCTCCTGCCATTTTTGTGGCAAGGCCAGAAATACGGGCCAGAAAATGCCACAGTGTTGGTGCTTTCAGAATCAGCTAAATGGCTGGACCCAAAGCCTAGTCATTTGTGGATTGACATCCCCAGGAGAATCTTCCATGGAGGGCCTCTCTGGAGGGAGGCCTGGCGCCAGTGCTGGACACCACAATTTAGAAAGGCCATGGAGAAGCTGGTGTGCTCAGAGGAAGGCAGCCAGAACAGTGAAGGGACTCAGTCAATCAACCAGCAAGTATTTGTTAGGAGCCTGCAGGCCATGGGAGGACACACCTTCAGAATTCTGATCCCCAGGCTCTGGTTTGACTTCTCCATTTAGAGGTTTGGTTTGGGTGGCTTCAGTGAACTTGGGGAGCTTACGAGGGGTTTCTTTGGGGGCCAGGCTAGTTCTCCCACAATCGAATCTCAATTGAGAAGCTATATAACAAATAACAGCAGGTCTGTTCACTGGGAAATTGGCATTCCTTCTGTTCCAGAAAGGATCTGGGCAGAAATGCAAATGAGAGCCAGAGTCCTTCCCATTTCTCCTGCCCCTCTGGAAAATATGGTGGGTGTGCTGACTGGACAACTGGCCAGTTGGACTTTGGAATGTAGGGGAGGCTGAAGGGAGCAAACCAACCCTCAGCCAACTCCACAGGCAGAGCTTGGGTTGTTCCCTTCCCCCCCTTTCCGAAAGGAAAATAAGGTTATTTCTGGCCTGAGGCCTAGACATCCCAGCACAAAAGACAAGACAGGAACAAGGCCCAGAAGCCCAGAAAAGAAAGGCTGAAAATGTGCTGGCTCTGTTGGCCTCATTTGTTAGAAAAGAGTAATGGGTTCATCCACTGCCTTTGAGGGACAAGTCCCCTGGGCCCTTCCTCCCCAAGGCTCCCGCACCATGGCCGACTGTCAGTCCACCTTCCAGCTCCCACCCTCAGAACCAGCCCCTCAATGCTATACCTCAAACCCACCAGCCCCAGTGATGCACACCAACATGACGGCAACATGGTTACTGAATCTTCTCCATGAAATGGAGAAAACATGAAACAAACCCAGGCTCCCAGCAATTCCCAGCCAAGAAAATTCGGGACCTGGCCATGACACAAAACACAGCCAGCCAGGGCCACAGGGAAGGGGCCCCAGCACCTCAGGTCTAAGCTTCAACTGCGATTCCAATCACTCGCTCACACCAGAGTCTGCCAGACTTCCGGGAGCTTCAGTGACGGGCACCAAGAGGGAAGGAGAGTCCTTGGCATTTGGGGAGCAGGTTGTGGCCTGTGCTGGTTCAGATGCCAGCCAGGGAGAATGGGATGAAAACATGCTTGGGAGGCCCTGGAAAGGGGCAGCTAGCTTACCCATTCCTGCAGTCACGAAGTAATTACCTGAATAATTCCTTACGTGAAGAAGACACCAGCCAGATTTGTGAAGGAGAAACTAAGGGAGCCAGAGATTCCCCCTGCCCTTCCATGGGGATCTCAGTGGGGATGGGGGAGGGCAAGGTTTACAACACCAGAGTGACCACCCAGAGCTGCCTGAGAAGGAGGCTAAAGGAGCAGCGGCTGTCCTCCAAGGAAAAAACAAATCACTGGCTTTTTGAAGTGAAAGTTTCCTCAAAAAAGAGAGAAAGGGGCTCCTCCAATTCTTCCCAAATAGAATTTTCCACCTTTTAAAGGTAGAAATGAAGAAACAAGTTTCAAACTTTCAAAGGAAGATTATTTAAAATCATTCTCTATAGATAGAAATGATAACATACTGATGCCCCTCTCACATAAATAAATGGGTCAGTCATCTACAGGATAAATTTTAGATTTTGATGGGAAAACCAGAGGAAAAACTCCAAACACGGCACTCAGATAAATCTAAATTCATCGTGAGACATTGGCCTCATACCCCTGAGGAGGTCCACCCTCCTATCCCAGCTCTGCCCCGTGGCTGTATCAACTTCCTCAGGCCTCAGTTTTCTCACCCGTAAAGTGGGGATGATAGCATTCAGATTACCTATGTCACAGATGAGATCATGGTCGCCCCAAAGGTGGCAGGGGCGCTAATGTTTATGAGACATTCCGTAAACTGTGAAGTGTAGCCATCAGAGAAGGCAGGCTCCATCGGGGATCGCATCCACACGGATCCTGAGTGGGAGAGGGTGTAGATGGAGGACGAGGCGGCTCCTTTTGCTAATGTGCTTTTAGCCAAATGGACCTGAGACCCAGATGGGGCCAGGAGGGGGCTCTGAGGTAACTCTCACAGATGCAGATCGATCCCTGACACTGACCTGCACCCCAAGGCTCTGACAAGGGAATTCTACGTGGGGTGGTCCTCTTCTGGGCACGCCATCCTGGAAGCTTACAAACAAACTACAGCCGAGAGCCATCCTCTCCCGAGCCTGAGGCGCAGCCGTGCTCCCCACAACGCAACGCTGGGAACGCTGAATCAGCTTCTGAAAAGCCACGCCCCCTTCCCAGATCCCCTCCCCGGAGAGCTGGGAGCGCCTAGGATACCATTAAGCCCAAACACCCTTATTTTACAGGCAGGGAATCTGAGCCCCAAGAGGTGGGGCGGTCTGCTCAGGGAGAGTCACTCAGGGGCAAAGGACTGAGCACTGATGCGATGAGTGTGGACGGCTCCGGGAGAGTCACACTGAGCACATCCCAAAGCTGCCAACTCCTTACTTTCTAACCAACCAGCTTCTGCTCAGGTAAACAAAATCTTTTGATGGCATACTTCAGGGGAAGTACCCTGGCCCCCTGTGCGGTGGGGGAGGAATGGCTTTCTAGAAGTATAAAATGGCAGACAATGGGCCACCTCTGACCCTGACCACTTCTGCAAAAACCAGGGCATGTTCCCCAGTTGTCGGCTTCATGACTCTTCAGGCTGGGGCGGGGATAGGCGTCCCTTTAGGGTCCCCTGCCGTGCTCCCAGATGTCACCGGCCCTGAATGCTGCTACTAACAAGCACCATCCGCCGAGCTGCTGGAACTCCCTAACGGGAAGCGCTGAGGCTGCTCAAGGGAGGAGGGAAGGGCTCAGCCTGTCCCCAGCCCCTACCTCCACCATGTGGAGGGAAGAATGCATTGCGCTTCTCTTCCCTACCGTAGATGAAAGGGGCAGAAGGAACCGGGAGCTGAAGAATTCCAAGACGGAGGAAGAGTTAAATGTGGAGAGAAGAGGAGACAAAGGAAACCCGGACGGACCAAAGTCATAGCCATAGGGCAAAGGCACAGAGCTCGCACTGTGTGAACACAAGCTCCCCTCCCTTCGCCCAGAGAAGAGAGTCGGGCATGATCTTAGCCCAGGCAACGAGGCCGAGGGGCGGAAGGGTCTGCTGAGCAGTCAATGGAGACGGCCTCTAACCAAGTATGCAGATGCGCAGAATGGCGCAGGAAAGCGTTTTTAAGCACCTACTATATACTACACATCGGATACACAGAGAAAAGTGAGACCGAGATCTGGGTTGGAAGGTGTAGGAACAGGACAAAAAATAAGTCCGGGAGGAGGTTCGGAAGGCAATGTTTGGAGTTTCTAAGAAGACAGCAGTGGCGGCTACTCTGGATGGCTCCGCAAGGAAGGGGCTGCTGGGGTGCGAACAGTGGGAGGGATCAGCGGCGCCGAGGCTGGAGAGAGAAGATATCTAGGGGTGTGTAGAGAGCGGGCAGGGTCCAGGGGCTTGGGTAGGCTGGTCAGCCTGGGATAAGCTGGAAGGGCTAAGAACAAAGTTCTGGAGATGCAGAGGGCGGCAAACATCCTTGTGGGAGGGGACGAGAGGGGAGCTATCTCACGAAGAGGAGAAATGACCAAGGAGACCTAGAGAGAGCCAGGAGGACGGGAGGGTGCCCCGGGGGACCTGAAGGAAGAAACACCCTGGCTCTCAAGAAAGGGAAGACAATGGATTGTGCAGGCTCAGGCCACAAATATGGCTTCCCTTTGGGGCAAACTTTGAGGCGACATTTGAGGAAGATGTCATCACAAAGAGTTGTAAGAGTTAATTAACACCTAATCTTTGCTCTCCGTCTGTGCCTCTGACACTGTCTCCTCTCTCTCTCTCTCTCTCTCTCTCTCTCTCTCTCTCTCTCTCTCTCTCTCTCTCTCTCTCTCTCTCTCTCTCTCCCTCCCTCTCTCCTCTCTCTCTCTTTCTCTCTCTCTCTCTGTCTCTCCATCTCTGTCTCTGTCTCTCTCTCTTTGTCTCTCTCTCTCTCCCCTGTCTCTGTCTGTCTCACCTGTCTCTCTCTGTCTTTTATTCCTATTTCAACGTGAACTAGGGGTGTGTGCATAGGAAGCCAGCCCATGGGGTAACAACTACCCAGAGGGCAGCCAGGGCAGAAATACCATGAAATCTCATCTATCCAGAATCAGCTGTTAATGACCGGATGTGTTAAGAAGAGGCTTCTTCCCCCAGTCCTCCTGGATATCAATTTTCCAAATGTCTCAGTAAATGAGGCATAAAATGTACAAATCTAAGTGCTAACTGCACGTAGCCATTGTCCTCTCTGAACAGAAAGAGGGAACAGCTTATTAGCAGTTTTCTGGGACCATTGAGGTATTCCCAGGGCCATGAGGCCATTCCCTAAATGTTTCTGCTCATGAAAAAGGCGAGCTGCCCTAAGATGCACAATGTGGCTATTATTCTTGTGTAGACGGGGATGGCTTTGGGGATGGGGCCACATGCACCTAGCCCAGGACAGAGTGGAAGAAATGGATGCCTGACATCGTCAGGTTCTCCTGGGCCTGTGACCCCATCCCGGTGGGCCCAGGCAGGGGGTGAGCCCTCTAGCACCCGGGGTTCCAGTTCTTTTCCAGTTAAGGCAATGGGGAGGACAGCCTGTCTCACCTGGCAATCTTGTCACTGCAGGACATAGTGAGCAGCCGCTCACCCTGTAGCACCCCATCCCAGGTCTGGATGGTTGTTGTTGACCTCACAGGAATGGTCCCCTCCCCAGACTCGATCTTGGTCCGGAGCTGTCCTCTTGCTTTCCTGTTTGGATGTCTATCTGCCTGATCTAAAAGAGACAAAGGCAGAAGTGAGGCCAGCCTTCTAGGAAAGGAGACCCACCCGCCTTACTGCAGAGACACACCCAGATATGGTCAGGGGGAGAGTCTGCAAGGAAGCACGCTGAGCATTTCAGTCTGTCCCTCTCTGGTCAAAAAGGTAAGGCATTCCCTCGATTCAGTGTTTCTTTTGGAAATATCAAGGACCTTTCAGTCCACCATCCTCCCTTGGGCCCTGAGACTGTCCCCAACAACTCATTTATTTGTATGTACACCAGCCCACAGGAACAAGCTTTAGAAAGGGATGCCTCCCTTGAAGTGGTGTTTGTTTTGTCTAATGGGTGGTCTTTATTAAATTGATTTAAACCATTATTGGCTGTCAGGGCCTTCATGGCCTAGCTCTAGCAGCTCTGTATACCCCTAAAGGGAGTCACCTACCATCTTGTGCCGCCTCGTGGGGTGAGAAGATCCTGGCGTCTCCACACGGAGAGGTGCTGATATAGAGATGAAACTGGACGGTCTCCTTCAGCTTGAAGCCTCCGCGCTGGGATTTCATGAAAATGGATCTCTGCTGGTCCTCTCTCGTACTGAAACAGAGCAGAGCTGAAGTCAAGGGAAAGCTGCGGCCAATGGCCGATGGACCACACTGGGCCTTCAGGGGCTGCAGAGAGTCCTCTGTGGGGTAAGATTGGCAGCTTACTTGAGTTCACACCTGGCCAGGCCTTCTGATAAAGTCACACTCCCACTGACCATTTGCTAGTGACCATATCCTCCCAATGTGAGGAACTCTTCCTTCTTAGTTTTTCTTTAGGACTAGAGCACCAAACTACATTTATTTTTAAATTATATTAGCATGTTTTGAATTAACAAGCATTTATTTCCTCTCTCTCTCTCTCTCCTCTCCCTTCCCCATTGAAGAGACCAAACCAACCCCTTGTAACAAATATTCATAGTCCAGCAAAACCCACAACAGCTGGGTCCAATGGCATACTTTGTATCTGTAGCTCCGTCTGCACCCTGAGTCCATCCCTCCTTCGAGGGAGGTCAGGAATGGGCTTTATCATGATTCCTTGCAATTGTGTTTGCTCGTTATGCTAAGCAGGGTTCTGAAGTCCTTCCAGGTGGTTTGTCTGTACAACACTGCTATTATTGCACAAACCATTGTTCTGGTTCTGCCCAGCTCACTCGCATCAGTTCACATGAGTTGTCCCAGGCTTCTCTAAGACCTTCCTTTCATCATCTCACATGGCACCATACACACAAGCACCATGCTTTATGAAGCCATTCCCTAGCTGCTGAGCGCTCCCTTGGTGGCCAGCACCAAAAAAGAGCTTCTATTTCTGTCCCTGTACACACGGCTCCTTTTCCTCCTTCTTTAATCTCTTCGGGGCCATAGGCCTAGTCATATCACTGGGTCAAAGGTTTGTATAGTTTATTAATTCTTTGACCATGCCTCCCAGTTGCTTTCCAGAATGGCCGGACCAATCCAGAGGTTCACCAGCAGAATATGTGCCTGTTTTTCCACAGCCCCGCTAGCATTTGTCCTTTTCTTTTCTTGCCAACTTTGCTGCTCTTATGGTGTGAGGTGGAACCTCAGAGTTCCTTTAATTTGCATTTCTCTAATTATTAGTGATTTGGATCATTTTTCACATGACTATTGACAGCTTGGGTTTCTTCCTTTGAAAACTACCCATTCATATCCTTTGACCATTTATCAGTTGGAGAACAGCTCTTATTCTTATAAATTTGATTCAATTCTGTCTGTGTCTTGGATATGAAGCTTTTATCACAGAATCTTGCTGCAAATGTTTTTTCTGTTTTTGTAATAGTTTTGTTTGTGCAATTTTTTAAAAAAATTTTATGAAATCAAAATTGTCCATTTTGTCTTCTGTGATCTTCTCTCTACCCTGTCTGGTCATGAATTGTTCCCCTATCCATAGATCTAAAAAGCAATGTCTTCCTTGCTCCTCTAATTGTTCATGATGCCAACCTTTATGTCTAAGTCATGTGCCCATTTGGAGCTCGTCTTGCTATATGGCATGAGATGCTGGTCTATGCCTAGTCTCTACCAGATGCTTTCTGGTTTTCTCAGCATTTTTGGTTACATGGTGAGTTCTTAGACCAGAAATGGGTTCTTTGGGTTCATCATTTGCTTCTGTCTGTCCTCTGTCTAATCTTTTCCACTGATTTCTGAAACTAACTCTCTATTCTGTAACTAGCACTAAACTGTTTTGATGACAGAAGCTAAATTTAAACAATTGTCACAGAAGTACAACTGGTTGGACACTGACGTGATGGACTGTTTCTGGATGCAGTAACTGGACTGAAGGTGGTCGTTTCCATGAATGCACAAGGTCTCCTAAGGTGGCCTCTGTACATCTACGCTGCAGAAAACAGAAGAATGTGGCCTGTGACGTTAGGACCGCATCCCCTTCTCCTGTCCACTTCTGCTGCTGCCTTTGGTCAGTCCCGTCTGCTCCCCTGGTTTTAATCACTGTCGCTATCCTGAGCTACTCTGGGGGCAGGGAATGACCTCCCTAAGGTCAAGTGTCCCAAGCTCTAGTGGCCTGAACTTACCTCAAGAAAAGTTCAAGCTGCGTGTAAAGGAACCGAATCAGGGATCGCCGAGATACGATTTCTGCGTGACAGTCATTCAGGGCCAGGCCACGGTCACTCATGTACTCCCCATTGATACATTTGGTTCCTGTGGAGACACTTATCACCTGTGCATCTTTGACGTCCGTGCCTGGGAACCAAAGATGTTTCCCGTTAGTCCATGATCACGCCCTGGATGTCTACACGTCTGGAGGCTCCATGCCCATTCTCTGATGACTGGCTGACTCTAGGGGGCAACCTGAATCTTAGAGAGTCAACCCACAAGGCAAGCTACAGCTGTTGGGACTGGATCAGGCTCCAATGAGAGATACACTTTGGTTTTACAAAACCACTCACTGATTCAGGACGAGGCCCACTGAGCCCCAGAATGGCAAATGCCAGGGGTGGGTTTCACAGAAAAGAATGGCTCACAGTACTCAGAGGAACTCTTTGGGGAGCACAGGAATGGTTTCTGCTGGGATGCACGGAGCACCCTTCTCTGTACATGGAGTGAACCATCATTAAGACCAGTCACGTCACTTGGAGGCTCCCATCGGTTTTGTGATTTGTTTGTCTCTGTTCTAGACAAGGACCATGACATCAGGGAGGTGATGCCATGCCTTGCAAATGAATTGGATTTAAGTGAGGAAGGCTGTGCAGAGTCACCAGCCTCACTCTCTCCTCCAGAGCCATCCAGGTCCAGTGGCCAGATATGGATCAGGACGACTGGAGATGGCCCCGGATGCAGTGGGGGACCTTGGCCTTTTCAAGCTAAGGTCTTTCCCATGTCCCAGTTGGACTGAGGCAGCACCCCTTTGGTGATTAAGGCTAGGTAAGAAATGAGGCAGAGAATGACCTCTTTTACCTAGTCAAAAAAAATCAGTCTGGGAGGGGAAGAGCCTCACGGTTTCTGGCCAATTGCTATTTACATTCTGAGCCATCAGGGCCCAAATACCAAGCGGAGCTTGGCCTGGAAAGGTGGCAAATGGGTAGGGTGCTGAGTCTGGAGTCAGAAAGACTCATCTTCCTGAGTTCAAATCTGACATCAGACACTTCCTAGCCATGTGACCCTGGGTAAGTCACTTCACCCTGTTTGCCTCAGTTTCCTCATCTGTAAAATGAGCTGGAGAAGGAAATGGTAAACCCATCTAGCATCTCTGCCAAGAAAACCCCAAATGGGGTCATGAAGAGTTGGCTAGGCTTGGTGACTCCTCTCACAGTCAAATACTAGTATGTTAAGTGAGGTTATGAAGTCAGAACACAGTCAGCCACAAAGAAAACCATGGAAGAAATCATTTAAAAGCATCTCCCCTGCCAGTCAATTTTGTCATCAGTAAATTATACTGAGTCGAAATACAGGACAACTGAACTTCCAGAGACATGAATTCCTTTTTAAAGTCAAGTCATACCCTCTGAGAATTTAAATCAATCCCTCAACCTTATTCTCTCAGCTCTAACCCTTTGAAAAACAAAACTAGGGTCATTTCCAGTGAAGCCCATGGCCTCTAGGTCCTGCAAGGGCAGACTTCTGGACAATGACCCCTGTGAAGAACTCCCCACCTAGACCTCCGTGCACAGAAGCTACACACCAGGACACGGAGAACCCAGACTCCTAAGGAAATCCAGCCCTCCCAGAACCATGAGAGTAAGTCGCTGAAGTTTCCCTGAGCTTGGGTGGCCAATGGAGAGCTCCATGTAGTGAAAGGGATGATGGAAATCCTTTGGCCAATTCCCTAATCTATGGCTTGAGGAATTCTGGGGAAAGTTGAATAGCATGTGATAAATGCACATATAGAGAAGTCAGCCTTTGTTCTTTATCCTCCTCAATAAGAAAAGTAATCCTTTTACAAAAGAAGCAGCCATAGATGAAAATGAAAATGCACCCATATTCAAAGATGTATTCTCACATTCTCTCTTTCTCTCCATCTCTCTCTCTCTCTCTGTCTCCCCTCTCCTTATGCCTCTCTGTCACTGTCTCTCCTCTCTCTCTCTCTCTCTCTCTCTCTCTCTCTCTCTCTCTCTCTCTCTCTCTCTCTCTCTCTCTCTCCTTTCTCTCTCTCCCTCTTTCTCCCTCTCTCCTTTTTCTCTCCCTCTCTCTTCTCCCTCCCTCCTTCTCTTCCTTCCCTCCCTCTCACTCTTCCCTCACTGTCTCCTCCTTCCCTCTCTCCTCTATCCCCCTCTCTCTCCTCTCCCTATGTCTCTCTCTCACTGTCTCTCCTCTCTCTCTCCCTCTCTCCTTTCTCTCTCCCTCTCCTTTCTTCTCTCCCTCTCTCCTTTCTCTCTCCCTCTCTCCTTTCTCTCTCCCTCTCTCTCTCTCTCCTTTCTCTCTCTCTCTCTCCCTCTCTCTCCCTCCTCTCTCCTTATGTCTCTCTGTCACTGTCTCTCCTCTCTCTCTCTCCCTCTCTCCTTTCTCCCTCTCTCCTTTTTCTCTCCCTCTCTCTTCTCCCTCCCTCCTTCTCTTCCTTCCCTCCCTCTCACTCTTCCCTCACTGTCTCCTCCTTCCCTCTCTCCTCTATCCCCCTCTCTCTCCTCTCCCTATGTCTCTTCTCACTGTCTCTCCTCTCTCTCTCCCTCTCTCCTTTCTCTCTCCCTCTCCTTTCTCTCTCCCTCTCTCCTTTATCTCTCCCTCTCTCCTTTCTCTCTCCCTCTCTCTCCCTCTCTCCTTTCTCTCTCCCTCTCTCTCCTTTCTCTCTCCCTCTCTCTCCTTTCTCTCTCCTTCTCTCTCTCTCCTTTCTCTCTCTCTCCCCTCTTCTTGTGTCTCTCTGTCACTCTCTCTCTCTCCCTCTTTTCTCTCTCTCACTCTCTCCTTTCTCTCTTCTTTTTCTCTCCCTCCTCTTTCCCTCTCTCTCCCTCTCTCCTTTCTCACTCTCTCTTCCTCTCTCTTCTCCCTCCCTCCCTCTCTTCCTTCCCTCCCTCTCACTCTTCCCTCACTGTCTCCTCCTTCCCTCTCTCTCCTTATATCTCTCTGTCTCTCCTTTCTCGTTCCTCCCTCCTTCTCTCTTTCCGCCCCCTTACCTCACTCCCCCCAGAGTCTTTTAGAGTCAGTCTGGTCTTCTCACCAGACTTTTGCCCTCCATGGCCTAGAAGGACTCTTGGGGTACAAGGAGGAGGGAGTACCTTTGGAAAAGCAAAGAGCAGGCACAAGGGTGGTTCAGCAGGAAGGCTGAGCATGAGGGGCTCTGCCTCTTACTAGGTGAGCCTCTGGGAGGCTCAGTTTCTTCGTCTATGAAATGGGGCCAATTGTGCTTGCATCCATACCTCCCAAGCTTGTAGAGGTGAAATCACTTGGCACTCCGTGGAACCACCAATAAACAGAGGCCACGCTTGTTTTCCGACATTGCTAAAGATGGGGCAGGCAGCACGTGGCCCCCGCAGTCGGTGGGAAGGTTTTTCTTTTGGGGGTAGACAATGAGTCCCACTTTCAAGATCCAATGAAGCTCCTCCCCCTTCCCCACTCCTCACACCCTTACCTCACTGAAAAGAAAAGGCTCCAGTGTTTACCAGACGAATACTTTCTCCCCTCACTCGCCCTCGCGCCCCTTTCCAGCCCCCACCCAGGCCACCAGACAAGAGGGTGTGAGCTCCTCCACCGGGCCATTGACGTGCCTACCTGTCGTCATGACAACGCCAGAAAGCACTTTTCGCCGAGCATGGGGGGATGTGAAGTTGTCTGTCAAATCACTGAACTTCTCCACGATCAGGCGGGCCACGGAATCGGCGAGAACCTGGGGACCACAGAAGACATGGTGAGGTGCTGGGAACATCTCTGCCCTCCGCCAGCAAAGGGGGGGGCGGGGGAGGGACGGACTGTGGCCCACACATGCCTGGGCAGGCCACTCTCAGGCGATGGGCTTCTCATTGTCCTGGGACAACAGCACCGCTAACCCTAACCCAGCCGTCCAGCAGCGATACTCACCCCAAGGGCGGCACGATCGTACTTAGAACACGGTGAGAAAACACCGCTTAAGACAACTATCCGAAAACATTCATTTTCCTGAGGAAATCTATCAGTGACGTCCGGACCTTCTGTCTTCACTCCCTACAGAACGTTTCCTTCAAAACAGCTGAGACCTGTAGAACTCCCACTGAAGGGCCCTGCGTTCTGGAGCACACTCCGCCAGGCCAGCTATTGACCCGGCCCACGCTGGAAGAGTCCCTGACGGAGCCGGGTAAAAACCCAGTGATAACAGGAAACAGTCTGGGGGCCACACGGTTCTCTTGGACCCAGAGAGGAGAATCACATCAATGAAAAAGAGCATTTTTAGATTCAAAAAAGGCTGTTTTGTAAAGAACTACTGAGAGGGTACAGTGGAGAGAGCTAGCTGGTAGAGTCAGGAAGATCTGAATTCAAATCCAGCCTCAGACAAGTACGAGCTGTGTGACCCTGGGCAAGTCACTTCACCCTGTTGGACTTAGTTTCCTTACCATTAAAATGGAGATAACAACAGCACTTGCCTTGCTGGGCTGTGAAGGTCAAATGAGATAATATTGCAAAGTGCTTAGCACAATGTCTTGCGCATGGTAAGTGCTATAAAATGCTTGTTTTCTTCCTTCAATCAAGGAATGGCCAACTGGGAAATGTGACTTTTATCCAATCTACTCTACATAAATCTGTGAAAGCTGGTCAAATCAGAAATACTAACAAAAGTGAAAGGGATAATAAGAATAAAGAATGTTGAAAACTAAAAATAAAGAAAAAAGAAAGACAAAAGAAAAAAAGAAAAATGAAAAAATAATCAAGAATAAAGAAATGAGAAAATAAATCCATCTGGCTGCAAATTTACTTTCTCTGTATATAATTACATGCATGAGTAGAAATAGTTTTTCCTTCTTAGTCCAGACCTATGATTTCATTGGTATGGGGAACTCCTTGTGGGGGTGGGGGGAAGCCCATGTACTAATGCAGCTCAGAAATGCATCCAACTCTGAATGTTACAGCTTGGCCTGGGTGCCCAAGAGGGTGAAGCTCCAGACTTCTAGGCCATGAAGGCTGGCCTTCTCATCTCTATGGCCCAGCTCCTCTACCACAGTGGACTTTTTAAATAAAAGAAAAATGCCTTGATGGCAGCAAGAAAAGGAAACTGTATCAGTGTAGAAACAAAGCCATCTGTGTGGAAAAACTGCAGAGTGGGAGCACTTTCTGAGGGAGATGTCTCAGTCAGGTTATAAATCAAGTGGACTCCAAATGCTTCTCAGCTCATCATTCTCCAAAGGCTGAAAGAATGTTCTGGTGGTCCCCCATCTGTCTGATTAGGAGTGGAATTGCTTGAGTGGTTGGAAGGTGGAGGTGGACTTGTGTGGCTCTGCCCCCTGCCACTGGCCAGCTATGGCCAGGGCTATGTGTCTGGTGGGCTCAGCCAGATCTCAGAGATTGGCTTCCAAGAGAGCTTCCTTTGGGGCATGCCCAAGGCAGGCAGTCCCCTGAACCAAGCAGGAGCGCTGGCAGCACCAGCTCTGTGTCCTCTGGAGGTAAACTTTACAGATCGTGAGCTATTCCAAATTTCAATGATTTAAAACCTTACTTTACCATGAGGTTGGCCTTGATCATTGAAGGGCCCAATACTGATGAAGGGATCCAGGAGGGAGGACTCACTGTCCTAATCACACATCACCAGATGGCAGGGGCATCTTTATCCTCAGTCATCAGGCATTGAGAATGTCCCTGATTTCAGAGAGATATTTCAGCCAATCAAATCCTTGCTCTTACCATTAAAAAAGGTATCTGAATATGGCTTTAAGCTGCTAACACTTAAGACCCCTAATGCTGTGTAGGTGGGACAAGATGAGCTCCAAGGTCTTCCTCAGGGACTGTGATTCTCTCCTCCAGTGACCTCATTCTGGAGTTCCTCCTTGACCATGGTCCTCTGCACTTTGGAATAATGGTGAGCTTGAAACCTTATGCCAGCTCTGTGGCTTCCATGCCAGCTCTCTGGGGGATGTCTTAACCTTGGGTAGCCTCTAGCCTCACAGGGCTGGACAACATTTTTGTGATCAGGTCAGTCTGTGTATGTGTACACTGTGAGGACTGGGATCAAGGCAGGGGAAGGGTGGACTCAAAGACTGACTGTTACTTGTGGAAGGATGTTGATAAGAATCATAGTCTCTGAGGAAACCCTCAGAGCTCGTATTGTCCAACCTACAGAGAATAGGAATCCTCTCAACAGGTCTGGTGGATAGACACTTCCTGAAAGGGCCTACTTCACTGCTGTGGCAGTCCCTTCCACAGCAGGAGAGCACTAATTGTTAGGAAGTGTAGATTACATAGAGAATCTCCCTATCACTCAGACCACGATTTCTGTTTCAATCTTTTGGGCCAAGAAGAAAGAGTTTGCTCTTTCTTCCAAGTGACAACCTTTCAAATCCTTGAAGGGAGCTAGCACGTGTTCCTCCCCATCCCTACCCTGCCCTCTACCCAACCAAAGTTTCCCCCCCTGCAGGATAAACTTTCCCATTCCTGCAGCCTTGTTGGCCATCCCTCCATCTTTTGGTGACCTGCCCCTGAGGCTCTCTCGGCCTCCCTAAAGGGGCCTTACCTGAAACAACACAATCCTGCAAATGGGCTCTGAGCAGGGCTGAGACCAGGGAGATGAAGACCTCCCTGAGCCCAGACACCATTCCTCTCTTAAGGCAGGATAAGACAGCTCTGTTTCCTGGCACCTGGCTGCAGGTAAATAATAATAAGGGCTTGCTGCTTGCCTGCCTGCCTGCTGTCCGGTCACAGAAAGGATTCATACTGAGGGAGGAAGCTTGCAGCCCATGACCACCTCCAGAGCTTTGTCACACAAGCCAAGGCACATCACCACCATCTCGAACTTGGGAAACTGCCAAGGGCAGTAGGTTGGAGACTTACAGCTCTTTGTGAAAGAGCTGGAAAACACAAAAGCCGTCAAGGGAGCCCAGAGGGCAGAGGGATCAATTATCTGTACAGTGGTTGGAGAGAATATAATAAGGAAAGTGAAAAAAAGCAAACAGGGAAATGGCCGATGGAAAAAAGGGGAATGGGAGATGCGCCATTAAAGGACAGCCTTGGGCTTGTACACAAGGGAACCAGGTAGCCCGGAATGAAAACTAGCGTGGCGCTCGAGGCCGCGCGAGCCTCCGCAGGCTGAAGTCAAACTTCAGGTGGAGACGCAGGCACAGCATTCGAGCTGCCCCAGAGTCTTCTCAGAAAAGACACCGTGCGGCTCTGTCGCTGCTGCTTGGCTCAACCGTAAGGAATCGGCTTCGGCATCCGACACATCAGCAGACAGTCTTCGCAGGGCAGCCACAAAAAAACTCCGACAGGGTGGGGTCCGTACTGTGTCAGTGCGCTGGAGCAGACCAGCCCCCACCCGGCAGCTCCTGAGCTTAGCGAAGCACCTGGGACCCAGCTCTGGGCTCCAGACATTCTCCCTGGACATCGTCCCCAGGCCTGGAACACTCTCCCTCCTCTGCTCCGACTACTGACCTCCCGGCTTCCTTCAAGTCCCACCTAAAATCCCACATTCTCCGGGAAGCCTTCCCCAACCCCTCTCAATTCCGGGGCCTTCCCTCCGTTCGTTATTTCCTGCTTATCCTCTAGGGGCAGCGAGGGGGTGCGGTGGATAAAGCTCTGGGCTTGAAATTGGAAAGACTCAGCTTCGTGAGTTCAAATCTGGCTTCATACACCAGTTGTGTGACCCTGGGCAAGTCACTTAACTCTGCCTCAGTTCCTCATCTGTAAAATGAGCTGGAGAAGGAAGGGGCAAACCTCTCCAGTATCTTTGCCAAGAAAACCCCAAAAGGGTCATGGACAGTCAGATATGACTGAATAACAATTTATCCTCCATAGAGCTTGCTTTGTAGATATTTGTTTGCATTGCTATAATCTAATTATCCATTAGATTGTCAGCTCCTGTAGGGCAGGGAGTGCCTTTTGCCTCTGTTTGCATCCCCACCACTTAGCACAGGGCTTGGCACATAGTAGGTGCTTAATAAATGTTTATGGATTGATTGATTTAACCCTAGGCGAGCCACTCAGATAATGACCAGGGTAAACCACTTTAAATTAAATTAACCCTTGTGGGCTTCAAGCACAGGGACCTGAATGGACACAGAAGATGCTTACTACATAGTTGCTGAATTTGAAATACTGGCTGGTGATTTCTAAGCAAACGTGCACTTAGGAGATATTGGCTGATTTTGCATCTCCCCCCGAAACCTGTCTGAATCTCGGTATGGATTCCTAGCACAAGGTCAGTGTGAGGGCTCACCTCCTATCTGGAAATGCCAGGTCAGAAGCAGGGGTCCCTGACAAAAACACCTGACTCTTCCTGAGCCACTCCTGGGATAGCAGGGAAGAGTGGCAGATGGGTCTCAGAAGTGGCAGCAGCTACCTCAGGGAGTCCTAGGCATTGTCTGGCAGCACCAGGGAGTGCAGTGTTGGCCAGGAAACTGCCCAGAAGGAATCAGCACTTATATAGGGCCTACCATGCGCTAGGCACTGCCTCTCGGCAATGACCAAGCTTGGCCCGAAGGAGAGCTGGGATGAGAACCCCTCTGTCTCTCTTTGCAGAGGTGGGGAACTCTGGGAGTGGAAGACAGCTTGGACTTAGCCAGATGTTGGCATGTTCATCGTTCTCTTTTCTCCTTCTGGTTCTAGCTCTCTGAGTGGGAGGGAGAGGCAGAGTGGCCCCAAACATGGAGCCCCAGGATATCCAGCAGGAACTGGATGGAAGGTCTCCATTATCTTTACTGCTTCCCCATCATGAAAGTGTGTGTAGGCACTTTATGTCTGCTTGAAACCTAGATTGATGGCTGGCTACATGGTCAGGCCCTCGGTCAGGCCCTCCCTCAGCCCTCCCCAGGGCCCTGGGCCATGAAGCAGCCACAGGAGTGACAGGGGAGAAAGGCTTTCTGCCCACTGGCTCAGGAGGCCCAGGACAAGGGTCTTTTCTGCTCAAGTCTCTGCTCCCTTAGAGTGTAAGGCCATTCACTTCAACAGAGAGCTTGGGCAGGGTGTTCCTGCTCTTCTAGCTTTCTGAGTTCTTCTGGAGAACCAGAAAACCACAACTATTTGTTGAATGCTACTGGAGACAATGAGCATTTCCTATCCCAGCCAAGCCTGAAGCAGCAGCAGCAGGGGCTGTCAGACACAGGGCCATACCCCACAACCCTACTGCTCTCTCTTTCTGGTGGCTGTCTCTCCAGAATGGGACCTGAGCCTTCCTGAAGAAAAGCTGAGGAAAGGCACCAGCTGGGTCATAGGCAGCTGATACCTAAGGATGCTCTCTTCCTCTTTTGATAGCATTGTTCTGTTGAGGCAAAGCCAGAGCAGAGCAAGCCAGAGAACATCTCCAGCTCCAGCTGCCCTCAAGAATTCAGGGGCTCAAAGGGTCCTTGTTCTAGAGCTAGAAGGGACCCAGAGGTCATGGGGCCAGTTCGTCATTTTACTGAGGAGGAAGCTGAAGCCAGAGATGTGACGTCTCACTCAAGAGCCACAGGATTCAAACTCGAGCCTTCCTGACCCCATGTCTAGCGGGCCACTTAGTATATCACACAGCCTCAAAAACTATCGCTTTGGCAAAGTGCAAGCCTGCCAAAAGACTGACAGAGAGCTTCAGCCACCATGGCCAAAGAAACCCCCAAGGAAGGAAGCGATCTTTGTTTTACCTGAACATTATTTGCCTCCTTTGGGTGTTAATTGACATTGCAATGACATTTTGGGGGTCACCTTTGGCAAAATGACATAACTTCCACCCCTTTCACTGGGGATTATTGGCCAATTCTGGAAATGGTTTCACAGAAGCCATTCCAACGAGCCCAGTGGCAGCTCAGAGTTTAATTTTTCCAATAGAAATTGTGCTGCCTCACCAGCCAACCTTGAGCTTCACAGAGAAGACATCTTATCAGAAAACCAGAACAGAGATTTTGACAAGAGGCCAAAAAAAAAAAAAGGAAATGATTAGGCAGCCAGCTCCTCTATGTGAAACATCACATTCCCATCAGACCAGAAGGACCTGCGATGGCCTAGAGAAGAATGGACACTGAGAATGGAGATGACAGGGGACCAAAATGCAGATGGGGCCTGCCCTTTGGGTTCTGCATGAAACCCTGAAGCCCCCCTCCCAGCCCCCCCCACTTTCCCCCTCTCCTTCCCTGAGGCACCAGTTCAAAGTTCAGCCCAGCGTCTGAAAAAGTGGGAGGCTATGGGCAGGTCATGGGATTACTTTTGGCCTCACATTGCTCACCTATAAAATGAGGGGGGTCATTCCTTCCTGCATAGGGAGGGCAGCAAAGTCACCCTCATCTCCAGGGCTGGCATGAGCAGGGCAAGCAGGGAGATGCTCCTTGGGGTAGAGGGGGGAGAGGGCACCCTGGGGTCTGGGAAGACAAGGAGGAAGAGGAAAGGATGCGGGGAACAGCAGGGGTGTTCCAGAGGGATCTTCAGTGCTCCCACCTGCTCACAGGTCCCTGCTTTGGAGGGACAGCTCTCTCAACGACACGGCTTTCCTATCAGAAGTAATAATGCTTATGGAAAAGGAAAAGGAGAATTGATAATCTCTCTTAAGCCCATATCATCCTTCAACCATTTCATTTGCAGCTGTAAAATGTAAAGGACACAGAGTCTGCAAGGGGAAGAGGAGCAGGGGGGAGCTCCCCCCTGCCAGAGGAGAGGACAGTAGCTACTCCTCAAAAGTGGAGGGGGACAGAAACACTCAAGAAGGGGAAGGAGAAAAGACTTTCAATCTGATCAGCCCTTTGAGGGCCCTCCTTTAAAGGAGACTTTGGTTGTGGTGGGCATAGAAGGAACATCTATGACCTAGCCATCATCCTGGGTGCTGAAGAAGCATTGCTCCGTGAGGTGTGGCAGGCTCCCCCCTTTGTCCACCCTGGAAAACAGAGATGCAGTCAGGAAGCACCCAGCACCCCTGAGAAGGTCTGGGTCACATCCATGTCAGAGTCTGCCATGACTCAAGCACCCCCACCTTCTCCACTCTGCAGCCCACAAGGACGTGATTCACCATGAGCATGTCTGAAAGAGGGAGAGGACACAAAGGGACCCTGGTGGCTTACAGCTCTCATGTCTAGGAGGGATTCTGCATGAATTCCCCAAGGAGAGCCCTTGGGGGCCCTTCCTGGGCAGGAAGCCAACCAATGCATCAGAGAGGGCACCGTCACCACCTCTCCTCACCTCCATGGCTCCAGTGCCTGTCTCTCATTTCCTACTTTTCTAACCAAGTAAATTTGCCTCGGCGGCAAGTGCTCCTGGAACATAGGCTAAGAGGCTTATGATACATGGAAGGGACCACTTTAATCCCACAGATTCCCTCGGAGGGTGGCCCGAGCTCCCAGGACCTCACCTGTGGCAGATGCAGCTGGAGGCCCTCCTTGGGGATGGGCTGCCGAGACGGCGTCTGATCCAGCTGCATGTGGAAGAGGCAGGCGAGAGCAGACTGGGCAGCGCGGGCTTTGGCCAGCTTCTTATTCCGCCCTGACCCCTCGAAGCTATGGCCGTCCACGGCCACCGACATGACGAAGTTCTTGGCATGGCTCTCGCCACTCTCGGAGAGAAACTCGTATTTGAGGCCGGGCCGTAGCTCGTTCAAGATCATCACGGGGTTTTTGCCGCTGGCAGACGGGTAGGGTATGGGGAGGGGGAGGGGTGACTGTATCAGGGCGCTGGGGACGGCAGACACTGACACGCTATAGTCTGCACTGGGACTGAAACTGCCATCTCCATTGGAACCCAAATAAAAGGGCGCGTCCGCCTGAATGGGGGTCTCAAATCCATTGAAAAGGGTGTCGGGGAAGTCGGCTTGGTCCGACGTAAAGTCGGTGTTGACAGAGAGGGTCCTGCCCATGGCTAGGTGAGCCTCGGACGCATTGGGGAACTGGACAAAGGAGCGCAAGGCCTTCTCGGCAGCGTGCAGCTTGGCTTTCTTCTTGGTGGGGCCCGAGCCTTCAAAGGCCTGTCCGTTCACCTCGACGGCCATGACGAAGACGGGGGCGTGAACGGGTCCTGTCTGGGAGAGGAGTTTGTACTGCAAGCCAGGCTTGATCTCATTTAGCTGCATCAGGGCATTCTTGGGTAAAATGGGCCCAGGGATTTTCTTCCTCCTCTTCAGACGGAACTTGGGGTGGCCGTTGGTGCCATCCTCCAGGGGCCGCTTCCTGCCGGCGCCACCTCCTCCACCATTGGTGAGCTGAGCCGCCTCCCCCGCACTCTGAGCGCCGCCGTCTTTGGGCGGGACGTTGTCCAGGTTGCGGTTTTCCTTGACGTCGGCGCTGCTGGAACCTGCGGTGCCCAAAAGAGTAACTTACAACGCCTTCGTTGTAGGACCTTGTAAATGCAAAATTTATAGATTCCTTCATCTCTCTTTGTAACTGGTTAAGTGATGTGTGCTCCCCAAGCCTCCTCTTCCGGGTGGACCCAACCCCAACCCGCCTCTGCCTCAAGCACTGGCTAGGAATAAGGGGGGGCAGCATCCATGCTGCTCGGGGTGGAAGGGCCTCCCCCTACAACACATCGGGGAACCACCTGAGAGAAGTGTGGCAGGTGGCCAACGATGCTGACGGAATGCAATGCATCGTCAGCATAGGAAAGTGGATGCTTTGCTTTAGTTATACTTCTTTATTTTCGTTTCATTTGACCAGAATCTAGTTTGTAGGGTTGAATTGAGGCACCATTTGGAGGAGATACAATGCTCTTTAAAAATATGTACTCAGCGACTAATTGGCTTTGCAGGTAATAAATATTCAATCACTGCGCATCTTTGATTTGGTTCACATACTCACTAGTATGATAAATTGTTAATGTAGTTGGCGCCTGTTCTTTTGGGCAGCTTTGACTGGGGGAGGAGGGGGCTGGAGCTCTGCTTTCCAGCCTTGCTCTACCCAATGAGCACCATTGAGCTCTGACGCTAGGGTGCTTCATCAAAGAGAGTTCCGACCGCCAAAGGAGCAAATAAAAAAAGGTGGAACCGAGAATCGTCTCAGCAAACAGGTGTCACTCCGCCTCTTCCTTCTTGGTTTTCAATATAGTCCCAGAGAAATGCCAAGGAGGGGAACCTGATTGAGGGTCAAGATGGAGAGCTGGCATTCAGCCCCCCAACAAGTTACTAAGTTCGTGGCAAAGGGAGGGTTATCTTGGCTTCAAAAAGGAAAAAAAAATCACAAATCCCCCTAAGTTTATAGTTTATTCTCAAAAATCAGGGGAATGATTCACTTTTCCTGTTCTGACTAAATTTAACAGGATTTACCATGAATCATATGGGCAAATGCTTAGAGAAATTTAAAACAGTTTTGTGTATTTAAAAGGTAAAGGCCCCCCAATCTTAAAAACATGTCTCTCAATATGTTAGAAAAATCCACAATAAAAATAATAGATAATCCAAATAACCAGCCTTTTTAGACATTTAGACCAAAATGCAGTAACTACCCCTGAGGACCATTTCTCCTTCATAATGAGGGCTAGTTTCCATGACGCTATGCAAACTGCTCCACATGTGTGACCATTTGCATCAGATAAGCCAATTAAAAAGCCAACCCTTACTCTGGGTACTAACTAGGCCAAGGCTCCCAATCTTCCCCTTTCAAGAGCTCTGATTTCCAGGGGCAGATTCATTGAGTTTGGTATTAGGATAATAATTCTGAAAAGCTCCCTTTAAACTAACCCAAATGGAAGGCTGCTTGTCAGTGGGAGACTCTAAGCAGCCACTAGGAGTGACTTAAAAGGGCCTTTCCCCACCGCCTGCCCGGCACACACACACACACCACTTCTCCCAGTTGACAAAGCTGATGGAATGATGATTAAATTTTCATTTATAACATCCTCCAGCAAAAGCTCAATAGGTTACTCCTTTTGGTGCTCAAAAAACAAAGGAGAGAAACAGAACCAGAATGGAGATTTAGAGGTTGACACAGGACAAAGAGCTTCGCACGCGCAAACAGCAAGGGCCCGGCATGGCATTGATGGCCCAGGAGCCATTGCTCCAAGTGGCCTCCAAGCCCTTCCTGCAGCCCTGGGCAGCTTCTGGGAACACTGGAGGAATCCCAGCAGCCCAGAGACTGCAAAGGCCTTTCTGTCTGATCTCCACTTCGCTGGGAGCTTTGGGGGACGATGCACCGGTGGGAACCAGCAAACCTGAGTCAGGGGATGGTGGAGGACTCCACCCAAACGAGGGATCTATCGGCACACTTTGGACCACTGGGGTGTGGGGGCAGGTAGGCCAATTTCCATGACGTTTTTATTGAGAAGAAATTAATATTTCAATGATTCATATGATTTTTCTGTTTAATGAACTGGCCCCCAAGGGACCATGTTGGCAAGCCAAAGCACTTGCTCTGATCTGTTCATCTTTAGATGACTTGTGAAAGCCACACTTCCTGACTACTGACTGACAAGCCAAGTGAAAACCTTCCGGGGTGTCAAGGGGAAAGCCGGGGGCCTGCCTCCTTCAAACACATGCCCAACAGCATGTTGTCTCTATGCCCAAGGGCTGTGCCCAGGCAGTAAGGCAGGCCCAAAGGACCCCAACTGAAGCCTTTCCACAGACCTTGGGTGGGGGCTTCTCTGTTCTTGGGTCAGCCCCGAATCTAGGCTTAGGTAAAGCCCTCCAGGGCAGCTGAGGGCTGAGGGTGATGTTAATCACACAGAGCAGGAAGCAGAGGAATGGGAGATTCCCTGACCCTGCCTCTGTCACGGGAGCCGGTCAGTCCTCCTCCACGTGTCCCTGCATCCAACCAAAGCTTCCCCAAGAGCCCAGACCCCATGACACACCCTGGCGACCCTTGCCATTCTGACCTTTTGCTGGACTTTGACCCTTTGCTGGACTTTGGGGAGCTGGTGTGTGGGCAAGGTCCTGACTAGGCCGGACTAGTGAGGGCCTTGGGGGCCTACATGAAGACCCAGCTGTCTCAGGGGTAGAAAATGCTCCTGGAAGAGCTTGTGCAGCACAGCCAAAAGTGAGTGAAAACTGGGGAGGGGGGATCCTCTGGGGCCATGTTATCAGTGGAAGGGAAGCAGCTTTAGTGGTGGAAAGGAGCAAGAATGGTCCCTGCTGGAGGCACGAAGAATCTGCCCTGCCTGCCCACAGGGCCATCTGCTTCTGGGGACCCCAAGCAGATGCCAATCCTATGCCTAGAGGACTGTCGTTCAAGAGGGAGAGGACATTTCTGAACTAAAGAGGGAACCTGAAAGATGCTGGATGCAACAAAAGGGTGGGGCCCCAGAGCAGCTAGAGGGCGCCACCATGCCCAGAGCACCTGGCCTGGAGTCCAGAAAACCCAAGTTCAAATCCAGCCTCCAACACTTACTGGCGGTGTGACCCAGGGCAAGTCACTTAACCTCTGCTTGCCTCAGTTTCCCCATCTGTAAATAGGAATCATAATAGCACCGACCTAGCAGGGTTGTTGTGAGTATAAAATTAGATAATAATTGTAAAGTGCTTAGCATACCACCTGGCACATAGTAGGTGCTTTAAAAATGCTTGCTTCTTTGTTCCCTTGGGGGTATGCAGGCCCCAGCACCATCTAGAAATCACCAATATAGCCCCACTTATAATGCCAATGTTGACCTTTTCATTCCACTCTGTATTAAAAGAAAGATATATAATGAAATGACTCAGTTGGACCTACTGCCAGGTGATCAGGCTGGTGGCTCTGGGACAGTCCTCCCTCCTAGAACTATCCTGTCTCTGTCAGAAAGTGCAGATTAGCCACAGAATGTAACCACTGTCATGGGGGAGGGATGCTCCTCCACCCCAGGGCTATGTATGGCTCTGCCAGGTGGGCATGGAATGGGACAAAGAAGGACGCCACCCCCAGAGCCACGCTCTCAGGCCTAGACCAGTTCTGCCCTTCAAACCATCAGCCAACAGGGAATGTCCTTGAGGGGGCAGACAGGAGTGTCATGGAGCCCAAAGCTGCCTCTGAAGACAGAAAAGACCATCGGGTCCTCTGTCCCAAGCTCTGGTCAACAGGAGTATATTATTGTCAGTATTGAATTTGGGGCCTTGCCTGCCCCACTAAACAGCCAGCCCCTCGAGGACAAGAGCTGTGCAGCGGGCATCCTTGTATGCCATATGCCTTGCATACCAAAGGTGTTCAGTAAATGTTGAGAGATTTTTAGAAAGATTTGGGAGGGATATTATGAATAGACTGCTTTTCTGTAAATCATGTCAAGACAAGCAGCATCCCTGGAAATCTAAATGATGATGGGCAGAGGATCCCAGCCTTGGAGGTGGCTGAGAAGGATGTGTGGTTCAACAGACATGGGCTTGACTAGAAACATGTAATGACCAGCTTTGAAGCAAAGCTAAGAGTGGCTTCTTTAGGGTGGCAAGCACAGGGGCTGGGTCCGGGTGAGGCCTGGGAGAAAGGCTTCCCAGAAAGCCTGGGGAGATTAGAAATGCTCCCATCTCATTGAGTTTAAACCAAACATTCCCCAGTGGGGTCACCACTGTCCTCCGCCTTTTCATGGCTCCTCTGGTTGTGTCTCCTCAATGACGTAATGGACCTGCCTGTAAGCTAAGACCCAGGAAGGAGCTACCTGGAGGGAGAAGGCCAGAGAAGCCTGCCTGCCTTTAAACAGCAGAGGCTGGCTATGACTGAGTCACTCCTGCTCCTTCACTTAGTCAAAAGCCAGCTTGCCCATGCTCATTTCCAGGGGCATGCCCCTCTAGGGAAAGTTCCTTGTTTTGCCCTTCTCTAGGAAAATTCTCTGCCTGGAATCTTTATTTTCCTAAATTCTCAAATGGCAACAGATAGACATCTGCTGACTAGTTTCAGGCTTCTTTGCTTAAAAAAAAATTACACTCCCCCCCACCCCGCCCCCACCAGCTCACAGCTCAGTGATGCTGTTTTACAAGCAGCTCTTCTGGCTGCTTCCCCAGGTAACCAGGGAGGCTGCCTAGCCACACTCATTAAGGGTTTGTCAGACTGGCCTGACCTGAGTTGACTGCTGCTTCTCTGGGTGAACACTTGATTCAAGGTTTTGATATTGTCTCTGGTCCTTGATCATATGACATGTTAAAGACAGGGTCACTGGCCCTAGACTCCTGAATCCAGAAAGGGCTTTAGGGAAAGGTCACCCTGCCCAATGCCTGCCGACAATGACACACAGCCTAATCTGCAGTGGGAGACAGAAGCTCTCCTTCTGGGCCAGAACAATGCTAGTCTAAAGTGAGACAGGACCAAGGACTGCACATGCTCAGATACACACCCGGCCAGGGAGCGCTGGGCAAGCCTCCCAGTATAGCTTCCTAAAGGGAGGAGGGGCGCTGCTGAGCTCCCTTGTCTCATGTGGGCCACTGACCCAAGGTCCCCTGGCCCACCTGGGAGTGACTAGAAACCATCTTAGAGAGGGCTAGAAAGCTCAGGGTCTCAGCAGAAACCATGCTGCGATGATGACCCTGTAATCAAAGAAAGCCTGCAGTCCCCACGGACTCGATCCGGAAGGTACAAGGAGAACGTGCTTCCCAGCTCTGAGCAAGACAACAGATGGGACACACAGCTCAGCCAGCCCTCAGCGAGGCTAGGAGCGAGTCACCTCTGCCCTGGCAAAGAAAACACAGCAATTACATGGGGTCACAGAAGGCATGCTAGCATTACCAAAGCCTGCTTGAATCTGTCCCGCTGGTCTTCCAGGGATTCACCGAAACATGCAGGGTGATGACCAGGGCAGTTGGGGGCTGGTTTACATTTCATTCAACAGACAGAAAAACAATCTTTTCTCAGTTTATTTTATTAAATATGTATGTAGTCAGTCCTGGGAGGAAACATTAGTACATTTACAATTCTCAGATATAGGTAAAATAGGCCTCATCCCTGTGACTCAGCTGTTCTTCCCTCAGACATATCTACACACACACATACACACACTCACATACACATACACACATATACACACAAACTCCCAGGCATACACACACATAAACTCACATACATTTACACACACATTTACACACAAACACATAATACATACATACATATACACACATATACTCACACACCTGTACACACACTACACATATAAACACACATGCATACATGCTCTCACACTTACACATGCATACACACATTCACACATGCACGTATATACATAAAAACTCACACACATGCATACATGCCTGCACTCACACAGGCACATATGCATATACACATCCACAAACTCACGTGCATACACACTCATACATACACACATTCAAATACACTCACAAACACATGTATACACACATATATTTACACATATATGCACACACATTCACATACACACATATACTCTTTTCCTCACACACACACACACACACACACACACACCCCTGGAGTCTCCTGCTGACGGCTGACACAGAAAGGAGAGTGAAGTGATGGTGGTCAGGAAGCCTGATGTGTTCAGGTAAAGGTCACTTATAGGCCAGCCCAGCCCCTGGGATATTGGTATGAGCTGGGTCAGCCTTCAGGGCCCATTCCCACCTTATAAGAGCCTCAGGGGTGTCCAGTCTCTTTAGATGTGCTGAATTAGCTCTCTATTCTATCATTTATTAGTGAGTCAGAATTTAAGCTTTGAGATGGATCATGGACTCTTCATCTAATCCTGGTAGGAAAGGATGGGCATCTTAAACTTGGATAAGATTAAGAAGAGGATCATGAACATAAGCAATGTTTTTGTGACTTTTTGGTCAGGGCCCTGTTCCCCAAACAGAAGGGTGGCCCCACCAGACAAGGAGCCTATGCATTGCTTGCAACCCCAATGTAGTAGCTGCAGGGACAACACAACTGGGGGGGGGTTGGGGAGGTATGTGTGCGTATGTGCGACTCTATCGGTTGGCAGCCAGTGAATTCTACTGCGCTTAAACCTGGATCAGAAGGCTTTGAGGGAAATGGGTATGATTCTTTCATTAGTAAGAAGACATTAAAACCATAAAAAACATGCCATTCATGGTTAGAAACAGAATGGCCGCACCACTTGGAAATTACTTCCCTTAAACTGGTCTTGTATACGCTTATAAAGATAAAAAGCTCCTCTAAGAAAATTAACTAATTTCACAGTATAGAGACCTAAATCTTACTCATATTTTCTTCATCATCTATATCCATGGTGAAACACTTTGGCTGGTTTCTTGACTGGCGGAGATTGCTTCTGTCTGAAAGACAGCAAGAAAATTGAGCTTAGGTTATCTATTGTATGAGTTAAGTGCTCTTCTCTAAGGAAGCAATTGGTGCATTATTATGAACCTGAGAGAAAAGCAATTTGTAAATAATTGTAGGTGTTGAAATCTGACAGCACACCAGAGAAGTCCCATTCACGATGAAATGCCCAACTCAGAACTGGTACACATGTTAGATTGCTGGCTCTTCCTCGATACTGAATATTCTCTACATCCTGTTCCATGCTTCAGTTTGGGGCCCTTGACCCCACTCGTGATTTCATGAACCTGGTCCATGAAGAAATTTGGAGGTGCAGTGGGGAAAAAACTCCACTTTAATTTTCACCACCCTTTGGTTTCCTTCCTAATCATCAGCATTGTGTTTTCTGCATTTAAAACTACAGTGCTGAGAAGGGTCCATAGGCTGACTGAGGAGGGTAGACTAGATCCAGCTGGCCCCAGACCTGGCCATGCTTCCTCTGGGCCATCCTCCCATCCTCCGGAGAGACTTCCAGTCCTCCCCAGCTCCCAATGCATGATCCTGGATGACGCGCACATGCTCTTTGCATGTGGACCGTCTGACCTGCCTGCAATGACTCCTCTTCTCGCCTCACTTCCTGGAGCCCTTCTCTTCTTGGTAAAGTAGCAGAAGGCGCAGGCCCGTCCTTCTGCTGAAGCCTTTCCTGCCCCTGCCTCTGCCCCTGCCCCCACCCCACCCACCGCCTTACTTTTCATTCCTTTGGATTTGTATCAGTTCCTTATTTATTATGGGTGTGCTTATTTCCATAGCAGTCTCTTCCCTGAATGTCAGCTCCTTGTGAGGGGGGGATTGTTTCACTCTTTGTACCTGTAGCCTTGGCCCTTAGGGCACACAGTAGGCCCTTCACATTTGGTGACCAATTGACTGATTGATATTCCCCAAATTCTTAAAATTCCAAGTGCTGTAGTAATGTAGTAAAGAATGAGAATCCACCCCAACGGGCTTAGAAGCCATTCTTTTGAAGTAAGTAATTTTCTTCCAAAGTCTAGAAGAACAAAATCAAGTCTTGCTGGAAGTTTCTATTGACTAAAACCAAACCAGAGTCACCATCAGTCCCAACAGTGTGAAGAAATGGCAAGCCGGGGGTGGGGGGGTGGGGGGCCGGCAGCCAGGTGGTACAGTGGATAGAGCACCGGTCCCAGATTCAGGAGGACCTGAGTTCAAATCTGGCCTCAAACACATAACACTTACTAGCTGTGTGACCCCGGGCAAGTCACTTAACCCCATTGCCTAGCCAAAAAAAAAAAAAGAAAGAAAAAAAGAAATGGCAGCAATCTAGAAACACTCCCCATTATCTATTGATCAAAACCAAACCAGAGTCACCATCAGTCCCAACAGCATGAAAAAATGGCGGGCAATCTAGAAACATTCCCCATTATTCTCCCTTTTAAAACATCCTTAACACATGACACTTACATTTTCTTAAGGCAATAAATGGATGCTAACAAAAGGAACTCTTTATCCCATGCAGCCAATTACCAGGACTCATGCTGTGCTTACTGAAGAAAAGATTCAGCGTTGATGACAATGGGAAAAAATGAGAAACAGCTTGGAAGATGCCTCGGATGCATTAAACCACCATTTCAGATCGGGTGCTTTGCCATTGCCCAGACTACCACCATTCGCAGTGTTGAATTTCTCCTATTATTTCTATGACAATGATATTCATGTAAGCGGAAGAAAAAATTACACTGTGTGCAGCCAGAAAGGAGCTAATTGCTCTGTTTGGCTAAAGATGTTGGGAACACTCCAACCCCTAGCAGGAGTCAGTGTCCTGACGACCAGGAGCCACCACCCAATTCCAGAAATAGAAAACTGCAGACAAAAGCCCAATGATCCTAGTTAAACAACATGGAGCCAGCAGCTCTCCATTCTGGAGGCTGGGACTTCCGGCCCAAACTGGCTCCCTTGCCTAATGTCTTATGGTTTTATGCAGTCTGCCCATTGTGGCTGGTTCTGCCCTCTCGAGCCATGCTACACAAGTAGGCTCCTAAGTTACAGCCCTAAGCACGTGGTGAGAGCAATTCACCTAACCCCCACTCTCAAGCTTCTTTCCCAAGGCTAAACATCCCCATTTCCCTTACCCTATTCTACTTCACAACCCTGAGACCTCACTCCCAATGGGCTGCCTTCCTGTGGAAGCTCCCAGCTCATCCACATTCTTTCCTATAGTATCCTGGCCCCCAGACCTGAAGCAAAACAATATGTCCAATGTTGTCTGATGGGGCAGAGGAGACCCGCCTCTGCCCTCCAGCCACAAAAAGATCTGCCTCCTAATCCCCCTACACTGGCATTAGCCTTTGTCTTGACTACCACCTAGCACTGACCAAGAGCTCCATAAACCCCACCCCCTGGCCTTTTGTTCAGACAATAGATACATCCTCACCTGGGTACTTGGGATTCAAAGAGCAAAACCCCAAGAACTTCACTTTAGGTTGCCTCAGTGTTCTAAATCCTTCCCAAATCCTGCAATCCTTTCCCCAACTTTGTCTCATCTGCAAATTTATAGATGCTACTGATGATTTAGCCAAGTCACTGGTAAAAATGTGAAAGAGTACCCAGCTGAGTACAGAGCAGTTAATCAGCAGACCCTAAGTGAGCACCTACTATGTGCCAGAAAGGGTGCCCGGTATTGAAGATAGCAATAGAGGTCTGATGTGCACAAAAATATTAACAGCTCATTTTATGGAGGCAAAAAATGGAAGTTATTGGGATGGTCGTCAATTGAGGAATGACTGAATAAGTTATGGCATATGGATGTGGAGATAATTGTGCTGTAAGAAATGAGTAAATAGATGATTTCAAAGAGCTATAGAAACACTTAGATGAACCAATGCAGAGTAAAGTAAGCAGAAACATAAGAATTATTCATACCATAACAATATCACAAAAATGAACAATTTTGAAAACTTCTGTACAGACTAGACATAATGTATATGTGCGTGAATGTATACGGCCAATGAGGGATTTCTTTTGCAAGACTATACATATTATTTATAAGGAGTTTGCTTTGCTTTGCTTTTTTGTTCAGTGGGGTTGGGAATGGGAAGAAGACAAAATACATTTCTGTTAATTACAAGAAATTGTGTTAACTAGAGAAGTGGAGGATTGCCACAGAAGTAGACTGTTACACATACTTTCATATGAAGTTTTGCCTAATTGTTTTACTTTGTCACAAGACACCTCCCACGGCATGGGGGTAATCTTTAAATGCTTGTCATATAAAAACAAAACACATCAATAAAATTTTTTTAAAAGAACTTCCCAGAGTAGAATGCCTGTTCCCAGAAGTGAGGAAGTCCCCCCAATAACCTATGCTGGAGGAGTCTCTGGGGATGGGGGTCAAGGGCAGGGGTTTGAATGGACCCCAACACACCTTCAAACTCCACAGTTCTGTACTTCTGTCACAAAACTATAGAAAGAACACAACCAAGACTCCGAGATCGGGGCCTCTGTGACCCTGGGCACAGCCTTCTCTTCTCTGATTTCTTCTCAGCCTTTTCACATTTCTCAGCAGGCCCAGAACCCTCCGTGCCCTGGAAGGTGCCCTGGGATTCACCTTCCTCCATTTAAGGAGGTGCCCAGGCCAGCCCCCTCCTCATTCTCACCAGGCTGCAGTGAGGAGCTCCCTATGATGCCCCCAAGCTGGGTTCTCTCTCCACCCCATTAGAGTGTAAGCTTCGTGACGCCAGGGGCTGTCTTTCTTCATGCCTGTATCTGCATTCCCAGCCCTTGGCACAGGGCCAGGCACATGGTAGGCCTTTCACAAGTGCTTGATGACTGACAAAGGAGGAAAGGGAATGGGCTGGAAGGGCGATGGCTTACAGCTTTCATCGCCTAGCTCTGGGTGGGACCAGCTCACCTTACGGAAGTTAAGGGACTTGCCAGGGTCCTCCAGCTCATAGGAGGGACATCCTAGGACTAGGCTTCTTCCAATACACTTGTCCTGGATTTCCACCTTGACCCTCACATTCACAGTCCTCTGAAATCTAACCCAGCCACAAAACCCCAACCACACCCTGGGGGCGTCAGTCAGGGTGTCGGATGAGAATACAGCCAGCATTCCTGCCGGCTCCAGCCACTATCCCCAGGGCTCCCCGAGCATTCCCTGCTCATCTGCAGGTGAGCCCAACCCTGACCCAGGCCCCGCCTCAGCTCTTCTCACAAAACAAGGGGGCTCCCTGGATCCTGTCGGTGCTCCTTCCTCGTCCCTGCCCTGGAGAGGACGCTCAATTAGGCCACTACTGCCAGCATCTCTCCCCTCCCTCCACCTAAGCCCTTTCCTGGGGGATAACTCTTAGAAGGAGTAACCTATTCCTTACCCTCCTCCCCAAGGCTGACTCTAGCAAGCAGATTCAGGCAGAGCAGAAGAGAGCCCCACATTGCTGCTCCCAGGCTGCTGAGGGGGCTCCTGCCTCCTGCATGCATGGAGGGTCCAAGAGCTGATCCCCAACACCAGTAGAAACAAATGATTGAGCATAAGACTAGCTGGGCTGCAGGCAATCGGTCTTAAAAGCTAAGAATCTATGAAATTTCATAGAGGGAAGCAATGAAACCTGAGGGTTAACATAAACCCATAGGGACACCTAGATTTCCTATCCTTTTCCACCACATTGAAATGGCCAAATTAATCTGAACTAATGGTGAGTGACAGTTGCTGCCTGGTGGCAATTATTTCTGTATTAAAGATTAATCGCCAGGTATCTTCTGTCTTCCATGAAAGAAAACAGGACAGTGCTGGCTCCATCCTTCTCTGAGCTCCAGCCCCCAGACCCCGCCTGGTAATGGCAGCCCTAGGGGCAGCTTTCTCCCTCCCAATGCCTCCAGGGAGGGGAGGGGAGGGGCGAGGGGTGAAGTCAGCCCTTCCACTAGCCACACTTCAGCACCTCAGAAAAGATGCCCCGGCAGGAGCTCTGTGTGGTATCACTGGCATCAGAGCTGACACAGAGCTGGCAGA